GAAAGAACCTCTGGCCTGGAACTTTCTTAGCAGTGCCAGGAGCTGCTCCAGCCTGCTGGTTCCTCAGGTACGGCAGGTTTCAGAGCATCTGCTTGTGGACTTGTGTCACATGGGATGTGACTGCTGGGTATATCCTGGGCCTCTGTCTTTGCTGGAAGTTCTAGGTTGCCATCCTGCTGCTCATGAGTCTGACAGCCTCAGCTGCCCTGACTCGCCAGACACCTGCTCTACACTGCACACCGTGCTGGGGTCACCACAGGTTCTGATGTTGAATTCTCTCTTCGTCCCATTTTGCAGCAGAGAAAATAGAGAGGTTCAACAGCACAAGTAATGTCTATTCCTCCCAAAATAACTGCTTCCACACACCCTTTCTAGGGCAGTGGGTGCCATTTAAAGGCCTGCTATTCTTTTCTCAGGAAGCCTTTTTTCTCTTTCATTTGAACAAGTATAAAAATCACTACACACTGACAAATGGGTGCAAGTCACACACACTTTTTTTTTGAGAGAGGATCTCTGTCGCCCTAGGTAGAGTGCTGTGCTGTCGTCATAGCTCACAGCAACTTCAAACTCTTGGGCTCAAGTGATCCTCCTGCCTCAGCCTCTTGAGTACCTGAGACTACAGGCACCCACCACAGCATCCAGCTATTTTTAGTAGAGATGGGGTCTTACTCTTGTTCAAGCTGGTCTAAAACTCTTGAGCTCAAGGGATCTTCCTGCCTCAGCCTCTCAGAATGCTAGGATTGCCATAGAGACATAGAACGGATTATTGGGGGCCTCAGGTACAGGAGGATGGAATGGGAGTGACTCCTCATGGGTGCAAGGTTCCTGTAGGGGCAATGAAAATAGTTCAAAATTAGGTTGTGGTGATGGCTATATACCGTGTGAATATTCTGGTTTTTAAACATTTTTTATTATTATTTATTTATTTATTGAGATAGAGATAAAGTGAGACTGTATCTCACCCCTGCCCCCTTTTCTGACTCATGTGTTTGCCCTTGGTAGAGTGCTGTGTCATCACAGCTCAGAGGAACCTCAAACTTTTGGGCTCAGGCGATCCTCTTGCCTCAGCCTCCCAGGTAGCTAGGAGTACAGGTGCCCGCCACAATGCCTGGCTGCTGTTTAGAGATGGGGGCCTCACTCTTGCTTAGGTTGGTCTAGAACTCCTGAGCTCAGGCAATCCACCCTTCAAAGAGTTAGGATTACAGGCGTGAGCCATCATGTCCAGCCCCTGTGAGTTCTCTACAACCACTGACTTGTACACTTTAGAGATATAAACTTGATGGTATGTAAATTATTTATCAATTAAACTCTTCAAAAAAAGAATCATAACTAAACCAGTACCAGTGTGCTTTGGGTAACTTTATGTTCTTAGTGAGTCCACAGACATGGGTGCTCCCCTCCCACTGTCACATGTGTCCAGGCTGTGGCTTGCTTCTGCTCTCCTATTACCACCTCTGTGTCTATCTCTGAGCAATAAATCAATCTGTTACTAATTTTTCAACCTTTTATAAAAGTATGCACTGGATGCATTCTGTAATCTATTTGTTTCTTTAATTATTTTTTGTTTTTGTTTTGTTTTTGAGACAGAGCCTCAAGCTGTCCCCCTGGGTGGAATGCCATGACATCACAGCTCACAGCAACTTCCAACTCCCGGGCTCAAGCGAGTCTCTTGCCTCTGCCTCCCAAGTAGCTGGGAC